CAGAACATTTCTGAGTTGGCAGTTTTTCTTTTTGTATAGTTAAAAGTTTCTTCTGGACGGCGCTTATGATTCACAATTTTTTAAAAACTGATTGATTTTACCACGTGTTTTTAGGAGAACCTGTGGTTGACCTACCTAACGGGTTGAATGCTAATTTTCCAACTAATAAAGTTGACCACTTGAAAGTTTCAGCCGTAAAAAGGTGACGTTTTGATGTTCGAAGTTTACACATTACAGTTGCAAGACATGCATTTTTAATTGTTTACAGTTTTTCTTTTATTTGCGACTTTGATCTTTTAGGCCGTTCAATGTTGAGAATACTGACGAAGAACAAGCACCACAAGCAACGCCTTCGGCCTTCGCACCAAGTGTAGCATTAGCAAGTGTTCCTAATCCTCTTGCAGCTACTTTAGCTGTTTCAGCATTGCAACAACAGGCACAGCAGTCGTCTTTACTTCAGGTATTATTCTTAATTGTTGTTTTTAGCTGTTTCACTACAGTATGTTATGTTTACCATTCTTCGCCTTCTTCAGAGCGTTTGGATGCAGCCGAATGTTAATATGCCTGACGTTTTGGCACTTATGCAACAGTATTATACCAACTTATCAATGAATTCTGCTTCCATGTTAGGGATGACAAATTCCCCTGTGACGCCCTCGACGAATGGGAGCGCTTTTAATGCAGTGGCTAAGACCGTTTCGTTAGTTTCTGTCATATTTGATTGGTGTGAGCAGAAGTTTAAATTTGTTATTTCATATTTGGCTGATTTTCTTCTGCAAAATTTTTTAGAGGTGAAACTGATTTTTAGTTAGGAAATTATGGGTTCAACTTGCTTATTTTTGATTCAATTGTGAGTAGTGAACTGCGGTGAAAACTTTTTTTTGTGGCTGTTAGATGAATTAAATCTTTTATGTATGGGGGAGATGAACTGTATTAGTTTTCAGGACAGATGAGCAGTCTCCATTGAGTCAGATGTCGTCAGCTGTCTCATTCGGGGTGAATTATGGTCGTCCAGAGTCATCACAAGGTTCCACGGTATTACCAGAAAACAAGCCTAGTGCTTGGAGTGCAATCAGCACTTCCAATCAAAATCGAAGGAGGGCTGCTACGAGCAGTAATGACAATTTGGTTACGGTTTCTCCTGGTGCAGGGACTCCATCAGCTGCTATATGTAAAGTGCCGAAGGTTGACTCGCAAACTGTTGAGGAAAACAGGTACTGCTGTTTTACTTCATGTATTAAGTTGCTGTTTTTAAGTCCTTTGAAGTTGTTATTTATGTAGCAATGAGGATGCGAAGTCGGCGCAGTTAAATGTGGTAGATGACGATGAGTTGGCCTTCGCGGAACCTGCAGCTAGACGTGACGTTAATGCGAAGAAAGATCGTTGTTCGTTTTGTCATAAAGTACGTTAGTAGAAGTTTTTTAACAGTTTTGTTCGAAACTTTTTTCTTTATACTGCTGTCGAAACAATTTAATTTCTTCTTTAAAATTTTTTCACTTTGGAAAAAAACTTCTGTTTATCTTGGCTCTTTAAATTAATGCGAAATGAAAGAGCTTTTTGAGGTAAAGATTCTTGCACTTTTTATGACCAAAATTATTGTATCGTCTAGAATTACATTTTTTTAGTTTTGTTTCCTCTTTTAACTGTGGTTTGCGAACTTCAGGGATTTCTGACGGATATTTCGAGCCACAAAAGTTTCATACCCTCTTTATTCTTTCGATTAAATTACGGATAAAACGTGCTCTGGATTGTTGCTTTTTTTAGGTTTTTACGAATAGGTCAAATCTGATTGTACATTTGAGAAGTCATACTGGGGAGAAGCCATATAAATGTAGATTGTGCCCATACGCATGTGCGCAGAGTAGTAAGCTTACGCGGCACATGAGAACTCATGGACAGCAAGGCAAAGTAAATATTCATTAAGTTCTATTATTTTGCTGATCTTTACCTTGGTGGTTCGTAGTTTAAGTGTTTTGTGCGGTAGAAAGTTGGAACTTGTTGTTGTAGGAAACGTATCATTGCCATATTTGTCGAATGCCGTTTTCTGTTCATTCAACACTAGAAAAGCACATGCGTAAATGTGTTGTTACAAATAACCAGTATAATCGCACCCTTAGTCAACAGAACTCTCTTGTTGGTGCTGACAATACAAACGGTATTTGTATTGAACGGCTTGTTTACTAAGTCTTTTATTTTCCTGTTTTTTAAATATATACTCTACTCGTTTTGTTTTTCTGACATATATTCCTAACTTTTACTTCTAATTTGAACTGAAATCTCTTTTACAGAAAGTCCTGCAAAACCAACAGCAACAAGTTTAGCAGACGCCAATTCGCTGCTAGCGCTCTCGAACGGATCGTTAAATTCCTCGCAATTGCATTCGTCCATACAGAGCAATCAGATAGTCTTGAAATGGTTGCAGGTTATTACTGACTTTTGTGCATGTTATAAAGTCTTTACAAGCATTTGTTTCAATGAGACTTTTGTAGGCAATGAATGTTAATTCATCTGCTCCATCGGCTTTGTCTTCTACTGGACCTACCAGTAATAATAAAGAAGAGTTAGCAGGCGATGAAGAAGAATTGGCGGAAACTGAGACTTCAGATATGTTACAAGGGGTTAAAAAGGTACGAGTTTTGCTTGCACTGATTTGAAAATTTTGTTCTTTGCCATATATTTTGCACTATTTGCAAAGTAAAGTTGTTTTTTATTATACCCGACTTAGTTGGGCATGAGGTTTCAGTTTGCAGAGAATTCATATCTCGGCATATACCAATCGGCGTTTATTACGTCCTTTTTTCAGGAACCTCCTATTCAAACTTGACACTTGAAAGTACGCTTTCCTGTTCATGCCCGCCTGTTTCACTGAGTACAATAGCTTGGTATTGGCAATTTTATTTATCTTTTCTTAAAACTTATTCAGCTTTGCCTTTGTTTTAATATGTACATTGATAACGCTTTTGTGTTACACTTTTCCGGTGAATATAGATTTTATATAGTGGTAACTAATTCCTTATCATTTCGAGTGACTTGTTCTTTTGTTCCCGGCGACACTTGTTTTTATCGAAACGGTTTAATAACATTGTTTGTTCGGTCTTCTGAAGTTAATATTACGCTCTGTTTTTGTCTTCTGAGAATTTACTCTCTGTTTGCTCGGTAAAACATACGTCTAGATGTCTTATAATTGAGGGGCTCTTTGTAGATTTGAGATTCTCCAGTGATATATTTGCTGCCTCATGTATAGCTGCACTGTTTTTATGATCTTTCTTTTTGGTACGCAAACGTATTTCAAATAGCTTCATGCAAACAGCTACTAGCTATGGACAGAAATCGTTTTCATTTTGTTTGCGAAGCCACTTTTAACTGTAGACATTTACACAGACGTACAGAAAGGAAGACTTTGTAAGTTTAACAGATACGGTTTTATTTTGGGACTTTTTTGCATGTAAACCCTTTTTTTGTTTTCATTTTTTCGTTCTTATTTTTATTTCAAAAGTTAATCCACTGCGCCTTGCATGTCTGTCTTTATTGATATTCTTTTGATTGTGATAATTTTTTATAGACAATATTTTTTTTTTTTTTTTCAATTTAATCTTCGTTTTGCAGCTGTTTAGTTTTTAATATCCAGTCTTGATTTTGGATTACAGTGTTCGTTAGTTCGTTGTTTTTTCGTAAAAAAATTCTTATTACTTTTCTTATTTGGGTTATGATTTTTATTACATAAAAGAGTAGTAGTTTTGCCAAATACAGTATTGTAGGATTTTCCATTTATATTTTTGGTAGTTTAGGTGACCTTTAGTAGTGAGTGAGAAAGAAGAGAGGGAGTTTAAAAATGATTCAAAAACAGTAAGATAGTAGTTGACATGTTATTCAGTAATTTGCTAACTTCGCCCTCTTTCTTCATCAACTTTTCATTTTTCATTTTCAAGTCAAGAAACTAAGGAATTGTTTTTTTTTGAGTCAAGAGAAAAAAAAACAGATTTCTATGTATTACTTTTCCCAAGTCTTTTCTCTTTATTTTCTCCCTTTCAATTTTCTTTCAACTTATTTTCTGCTAATCGTATTGTTTTTATAAACTAAAAAAGAAACAAACGGCTATGTTTCTGATCGTTTATTATGCAGTAGTAGTAAGCTCGCTAGTGTTGATAGTTAAAAAAAAGGAAAAAAAAAGAAACAAACACTACCAGTTTCGGTGTTTAACCGGTGTTGGGTTTATATAATAATAATAATATTACTCTTACCTTTATTGTCGATACTATTTTGTACCTACTTTTCTTTTCTTTTTGTTCCTTTCTTGTTTTTGCTTGATTTCTTCCTTTAATTGGTCAGATTAATTGGTTTGATTAAGTGAGCGAAGAGTATGAAAGGAAAGTGTTTTTTCTTCCTTTTTTTTTTTTTAATGGCGATGGTAACCCGGTGATGTGTACAGTTTTCTGCATAGTTCAAGTATAAATAGACGGTGGACGCTATGGCAGGATGGAAATTGTTATTATTTTTTATATTTATCTTCCTAGTTCATTAGTTTTTAATGACTTTTCAAAGATGATGGTATAATGAGGGAAGGAAAAAGCGAAAAATTTAGTGGGTTTATTTTTCGAGTGTGTTTGCGTGTGTTTGTGCGGTGTGGCAGCAACAGTTTTGAAAATTGTTTTTTTTCTTTCAACTTGTTATTGGAAGCAATAGCGTTTACCGTCAGTTCTTGTATAAGAAGCTAGAAATTTGTTCTTTGTTAAATGTGCATCTGAAGTGCCGGTGACATATGCTAAATTGTGTCTTTGGTACGGGCTTTGATAATATCTGTGCTAGTATCTCGTTTTGTTGTGTTCAGTGAGTCGTAGCATTCCCGTTTTCTGCTATATATTCAAATATATTATTATCATTATTTTTTGTTTTCGCTTGCGTCATTTTTTTTCTCAATTTATGTTTCTCGATTTGTTTCCTCAAACAAACTCAGTAGGCGCATTCTACCTTTTTTCTCTTATATTTTTTGGGAAATGCTCGTATTTTTATTTACTGGTTGCACTTTCTCAAGGAAATGTTTTTTTTATTTTGTATTTGTCATGTCTCCATCCTCCTAGTTCAAAAAAGTGTAGTTTTATATTGGTTTATTTTTTATTATTTTTTATTTTTTTGTTTTTCACTTTTGCTTCCTGTTGTATAGGATTTATTGCAGGACTTTGAGTCATCGGATGAGTTAAATCATTATACACAATACAAACAAATCAGTAGGGTTGCAGTTGTTTGTTTCTCTTTTCTTGCGCTTCTCTCTTCTTCAAATTAGACAGTTCCGACGAAATTTCTTTTATTTTATGTTCTGTTTCACTTGAAAATAGAAATTTTGGGTATCGAAAACTGTGAGGAATTCAAAGTCGGTAGCAGTGAAAGAAAATGAAACTCATCACTCAAAGTTCCTGTGTCTGTTATTCGTACTTCATTAGCTTTTCAACGTAGTGTTCTTTGCATGTTATTTTAGGTTTCGTATAGCCCATACCGATGTTGACCGAAAAAGATGTGTTCACACCTTGCAGTTCTTTTTTTTTTTCGTTATTATTCAAATTATTAAATTCTGTAATTTGGTTAAGCGGAAAAAGAATAAATTTTTAGGATAATATTTCAAGCAGTCTTGTGTTTGTTCCTCTTTTGGGTTTGGTTAATGACGGGGAAAAACACCTCATCAAATCTTGTTCATTGGAAATGCTCAGGTGAACATGAAGCTGAGGGTTTGCGAGACATTCACTACGGTTTCCCACTGAGAAGCCTGCAAAACGACGGTACGGACAGCAACAACATGACAAGTCGTGAGAACAGAGGCACGGTCCTGGCGTAATTTCAGGAAGGGATCGGCAAAACTGTGCCCTTCCCCTCCTTGAATACTTCTCCATTTGTGGCGGTGAGAAAATGCCACTGGATGAAAATCTGTGCGGGTTCTAAAGGAAAAGAGACACGAAGCCTGCGTGTCTGATCGGGTAATTGAAAACAGGCAAAAACTTTGGACAATTGGCAACTCAACATTGTTATCTCGAGAGTTTCGGTGCCATATTTTTTAAAGACGTTTTGATGTAAAAGGATGTGTCACTGCAACACCGGCCTTCTATTGGCTACAAACTGTTGAAGTGAGTGACTAGCGATATATGTTTCATGTTTATCCACATTATTCTAAAAATGCGAAGTATTCACACAAAATATGTACAACAAGAACGGTGGCAATTCCCTTTTTTTTCCTCACAAACTTAAACGACCTCAGCTGCAAATAAAAAGTCATTATCATCATGAGGGACCCAGAGAGTTACGGCGCCTTAAAATCTAAAGAAAAAGAGTGAGGTAAATAAGCAATTCCATAGAGCTAGGTGCAACAAAATCAACGCCGTTTTTTGCTAGAGCTGTCGTCATTCCCTCCTTCGTGGCCGCGTTTTTTGACTTCCTTTGCAGACTGCAGCAACTGACCCAAACCGAAGATATCATCCTCGTCTTTCTCAAACTGAAAATAATTCGTTGTTACTCAGGGACTAGAAATAAGCGAAGAATCCACTGCGAACTTCCAGGATCTTTAAGAGAACGTTCGCATAAATGATGCAGAAAAAATTCTCCAACTCGACGAAAGTTCAAATGTAAAATAAATGGCTAGGACCAGCAAGTCATGATTGTTCGAAAATTAAAAACTTGCGAGCAAACAAGATATTCACTACAAATTTCAAAGTAATTGAATAGCCATTTAGGCAAAAATGAATATTAAACTGTGACAGGTTTTAGGAAGGAAAAGTCGCCGAGAACAACAAATATGCATTTGGAATATAAGAACTATTTAAATCTCTTTTTGAAAACACTTCAACAAACCTGCACTGGTCCACCAGAACGTGCAGCACTGGCATCTGCACCACTGAAACTCTTCTCAGGGACGAATTTGTTTGCATTAATAATTTTTTCCAAATCATCACCATACAGGTCTTTATCCAAGTTTTTGCCTGAAAAATCCGCCTTAAAGACGCCACAGGAAGAAGTAGCTGTAAACTATCTAACTCCTCTAAAGAGGGGAATAAAGAATTGCAGTAAAACTGAAAAAATACTAGGTCTGTAAATATGCTGTTGTATATTATCCTGAGCCCTCCAGGGTTTGTCATAAACGCTGTATGTTTCATCATCAATCCCTCCGCTGTCAAGACCCTGAATAACAAACAAAATTATTTAATTAGGAAATCGTTTAAAAAACCAGTGATAATCATAAAAATATTTTGACCAAACAACTTCACCGGTAATAATTTTAAGGGCTCTTACCTTTGATTGGTCAAACAAACGTTGATCAAACTGTGTTTCTCCAGCCTTTGCACGAGAATCAGGCAAACCAAGTGCGATTTTCTCGCTAATATCACGTTCTTTGCCCCGTTTCAATCTCTCTAATTTATCAGGGTTGTTTCGGGCTATATTCCTTTCCCGTCGGTGTTCATCCAGACGGTCACGTCTAAAAAATCAGTACTAGCAACCGCATTTCCAATCGCATAGACTGAACTTCAGAAGAAAAGCTGAGTGTAACTGTTTGTTATAACATTGGAAAAAGAAAAAAAAAAGAGGAACATGAAACAAACCGTATCTGTTCCCTTTCTCGTGCTTCTGCATTGTCACCTTCGGTTTCCTGCGTTTTCTTCATCTGGTAACGTTCTTGTCTAAAAATTGAAAAATTGAAGATGAAAGCTACTAAACAAAACCCATTCTTTTTTTAAAAGGGCATTTTAGGACTGAGGAAGAAAAGTTCTAAAAAATGACGTTTGGAATCCTAAGTCATACCTAGCTTTCTGTGCCATCTGACGCATCTTCTCTTCCTGCTCCGCCTTCTTATTCTGGGCTAAGCGGCGCTCCATTTGGGCTCTGGTTTCTACAGCTTCTCGAGCTGTTCGATCGGCGAGATAAAGTGACTCAGCCAGCTTGGCAAAATTCTCATTTATGTGAACCTAAAAGTATAAATTGGGAAAAATGAAGAATTCTGGAAAAGTAACGAAATTCAAATTTACTCATAAAGAATTTCCCACGCCTAACCTGTTGCATACCGCGGCCATCCGCAGCCAGCCTCTTATCCAAAGCTACTGTGTATCCTAGAACGAAAAACTATGAACAACTAACTATTGTGGTCCCTTTAAAACTTTTTTAAGAAAGAAAACAACAATTTTAAATCAGGTGGTAAAACAAGACCTTTCGGGTTCTTCCAGTTTGATATACAAGGCGGTATTTTCCAGTCTGACTGCTCTTTCACAGTCGCCTGAAGTGACAAAATTTGTTGAAAATCATGTTGAAATTCTAGTTCTATTTTAAGCTGTATTGTCCCTTTTCCTGAGTTTTACTAAAGAGAGGAATCAAAAGGAAACCTTTCTTGGTGGTGAGTGCATTACAGGTGCCGGTGGCGAAGGAGGTGCTCGAGGTATTTTTTGATTTATCCTACAAAGAGAGGGTAGAGGAAACTACATTAGATTAAAAGTTAACCTGGAAACGAAGGTGTAACATTACTGCACATACTTAAACTTTGGTGGCTCCATAGGGTCTTTCTGCTCCTCTACCATGCGAATAATACGTTGCTGGGCACCACTGTTATGACCACCGCTTTGTTGGCTAGGAGTATACCGGATGTACTGAGCGGGTGCTTGCTTTTCAGCATGTCGAACAGGCAACGCACTGGATATCTAAAGAAAATGAAAAAAATAACGTTTGTAACTGGCTCAAAATCTTTGCGATAGCTATCAATTTAATAAAATTATTTTTTTGCGATGGAAGAAAACCCTGTCAACTGAAACTAAGTGTAACGAAACAGATCTTCTAGTAGGAGTAATAAGTTGAATAAAAAACAACGAGGAAATGACAAAAGTTACACTATCAATAATTAAGATAATTTTCATAATACCAGAAAACCAGAAACTGAGTAACGAAAATGCCAAAAACCTTTGACGCAATTATCTTTTCAAGAGCCATTCGTGTGGCTTCAGTTTTATCAGCAACCATCTCCTCGTTAGGTTTTTGAAACGAATCATCTTCTTCATCAATCATTTTGGCTTTCATATCCGACAGACGAGAATATATTATCTGAAAAAATTGAAATGGTTTCAAAAAATTAAAATTTTGAAAAGATAAAAAATAATTTATGCTTCGTATGACTATGTTCCTTGACAATCCCAAAAAATTTTGATTTTTAAGAAATAAAAAAACCTTATCCTTCGCATGACCATGCCTCGCCACAGCATCATGTCGCAACTTTCCTTCAGCATCAAACTGTAGAGCTAAAGTCTTACTTTCACCAGATCGCTTGTGTAAATCCATACCCATACCTGAAAAGTTCTTCAAACTTAAATGCAAAACTGAACAATATTTGTTCATTACAGTTTTAAACAAAGGATTTGCAAATAAATTGTGAGCATGAAACAAGCGTCCCAACATACTCGAAAGCTTTACAATTAATTTTTTCTACCACATAATACGACGCCAAAAAATTGCACTTTCTAAGGGCTTAGGAAAAATGAGAATTTAAAATGTCTGAACTAGTGAAGCCTTGGAACAGATCCTTTACTGAATCACATTATTCTTTCGTTTATTATAGAAGCCTTGAATCTAGGAGAAGGACAATTTAAAAATGAAGACTTGAGGGGGAAGAAACAGGTAGAAATGGACTACCCTCAGATTACTAAGAATGAATAGAATACTAAGAATGTTCATTTTTCTCTCACTAACAAAAATATGCTCTTCAAATTTCTGTATAAGCTAAAAAATATCCCTCAAAATACGTCTGAAAGTCAAATCTAAAATTTAAACATCTTTAAATCTCATGCCTTCAATCAGATGAACAAACAACTACGTCACACAATGCATTCACTAACACCATTTACTACCAGAAAAACCAACCCTCAAATTATAAAGCAAAGCCAAATAGGAATAACAACTTTTATGAAGTACAAAACTGATGCCACTTCTGCTCCTCACTCACGGATTAGACAACTTAAAACTACTGGACAGCTCACTTTTAGCCATATCACAAGAAACTGCAGAATCGGCTATAATTTCTTTAAATGTTACTGAAGCTTTGATTCATCTAGCTTCTAATATAAATTAAACTAATTTATCATAATCTATAAAAAAAAAATTTGTTAATTTACTAGTTTCTGAGCGTTGAATATATTTTCAAAATCATTTTGATGCCACCTGCTAAAACTGCACTGGCCTACTGCATCTAATAAATGATGATATTCACAGATAAGAAACTGCCTGACACTTCTGCTAACAAAACAGCGAAACAGATAGCAGAAAAAGAAAAAACTAGTTTGCGGAAAAGCATAAAAATCGGTTTTTGCAAGCTCAAAACTAAACGTACTTTCAGTCAGCTACCCTTAAAGTTCGGACAAAAGGAAGTTACATAACAGAAACCGACATTAAACATCCATTTGAAATGAACTAGTATTTGTTACAAAGATACAAAAAAAAAAAA